AAGTTTGTCGAATATAGACACAAAAATATTAGCCAAATGGAAGAGAAACAATTCAAGTAGAATTGGTTTCATATGAAAGACATATAGTTTTGTCTATGTTGTTCAAACACTCGAAAGTATAAAGTCAATAGTTGTGTGCAATCACTTTCATGTATTTTATATGTCTAGCATGACATAAAAAATTTGATATGCATCTAATTAAAGTCTATTATATGACTTATATGACTTAACTTATACGATAATCCCTGAAGGATTTAAATTGCTTAAAGCATGTACAATTTTTGGTCCTGAAGTACTACATCCTAAGTGCAATTTTGTCACGACCCGGATTTTCCACCCTCGGGAGTCGTGATGATGCCTGCTAGTGAAAATTAGGCAAGCCAACCAACTGAACTATCTACCTTATTTTCATTTTTAATCCGATAACGGTTAAGAGCCAACAATTATATAACAACAGAATTGAATAAGCGGAAGACTGTATTGTAAAAATTTAATAATACTGCTAATACCAATCCATAACAAATCCACCTAAGACTGGTGTCACAACTTCACAGACTGTCTAGGAGTACTACAAATAAAGTCTGAAAGAAATAAATACAACAGTCTCTGGAAATACATGAAAGAAACAGGAATAGTAGATAGAAGGAGACGCCAAGGCCTGCGGACGACTGCATGACTACCCCGGATCGCCTGATAAACAAGAAACAGCAATCTCACTGCGGTCCGAAGTCTACCGCATTGGAATATGCACAAAAGAGTGCAGAGTGTAGTATCAGCACAACCGACCCCATGTGCTGGTAATGCCTAGCCTAACCTCGGTGAAGTAGTGACGAGGCTAGGACCAGACTACCAAATAAATCTATGCAATATAGCGTACAAAAATAATAGGAAGCAGATAACAATGATGACAACAATGATCAACCAGTGATATAAATAGCAAGCAACAAGAACACCATAAATGTTTCTCAACAAATAATAAATACAAGTGCAATCAATTAATCAAATCCTTCAAATATAAATTGTTCGCCTATAAATCATTCAAGTAATAATCTCTAAGATAATATATTTTTCAATAAATATATTTCGAATATATTTCCTTCAAATAAATATCTTTCAGATAAGCATCTTTCGATTATAATTCTTTCGAGAAAAGGTCACCTTGTGACACCTCATTTCATAATCATAAATAATATAGGTTTCAACCCACTTTCATATTTTCACGGCACCTCGTGCCCATATTTATGTCACAACCGCACGGACAACTCATGTGCCATTAAATAAAATCATAATATTTTTCCCGGCACCTTGTGCCCACATATTTCTGTCTCACATTGCACAACAATATTCTCATATTACTCAGCTCATAGGTTCCATAACCCGATACAATTAAGAATATTCAAGGAGCCTCATTTGCTTAACATAAAGTAGAGTACAACTTCCAACCCAATTAGGAAATCAACAAGAAAAGATGAAGTTATTTTTTTTGAAATCATTTGATAAAGAAAATACCATTTTCAATTAAAGTACAATATCGAAGGAATCATTACCTTTAATACGAGAAATTAATAAATCAAAAAAATAGTAGAAATTCCTTTTTAAGTAAAGTACAACCTCAAACGGTTTAAGGAAACTTTAGTTGAGAAATCAATTGAGTTAAAAATGTAACAATTCTTGAAATTTGAAGTATTGAACATATTAAAAAAATAAGGCGAGGTATTGTAAACACTATGGATTCCAACACAAAGGATCACAACAGTAAAGGGATCTAAACAGTTAATACACTTGAATTATTAATAACAAGTAAACACAACAAACAGAAAGTACACGGCATCACCCTTCGTGTTTTAACACTCTCTCACCAAAACAATACACGACATCACCCTTCGTGCTTTAACACTCTCTCACCAAAATAATACACGGCATCAACCTTCGTGCTTTACACTCTTCCTCACCCAAGCAACAAACACAAGGCAAATAGGGTAAGGGAATCTATAACATCGAAATAAAATCAAGTAATAACGGAAAATCAGTAAATAAACATACATGACAACATAACTCAATTAGAATCAGGAAAAAATCAAGGACAAGTGCATGGCATCACCCTTCGTACTTTTACTCTCGTCCTCACCATAAGAATCAATATAAACTGCACGGCATCACCCTTCGTGCTTTACACTCTTCCTCACCATAAAATCAATATAATCGGCACGGAATTGTACATCGTGCGGCACGACATCACCCTTCGTGCTTTACACTCTTCCTCACAAAATCATACACGGCATCACCCTTCGTGCTTTAACACTCTTCCTCACTCAAACAACAATCACAAGAAATAAGGGCAAGGAAATAAATGAAATCACAATAAAATCCCGGTAAGGGAACAATTGTACAACAATCAAATCCCGGCAAGGGAAACAACATCAAAACAATAACATCCCGGCAAGGGAACAATGATATTTCAACAACATCCCGGCAAGGGAACAATGCTATCAAAACAAACATCCCGGCAAGGGAACAATAATATCAAACAAACATCCCGACAAGGGAACAATAATATCAAACAAATATCCCAGCAAGGGAACAACAATATCAAACAAACATCCCAGCAAGAGAATAATAATATCAAACAAACGTCCTGACAAGGGAACAATGATGATAATAACATATGAAACGCAATAAACCACAACAGAGTCCTAACAATTATAATACAAGACTCACGGGCATGCTTGACACCAACATATAGATACTCGTCACCATGTCTATACGTCGTACTTCACAATTAACATGTAGCAAATAAGACACAACTCCTAATCCCTCAAGCTAAGGTTAGACCAAACACTTAACTCACTTTGCAACCAATTCAAAATTCTAACAAGCCTTTGCATCGCGAATTCGTGCCCGAAATTCTCAATCTAGTCATAAACAATTCGATTCAGTCAATAAAAATTATAGGAATTAATTCTATATGAAATTCTACATTTTTCATTAAAAATCTGAAATTGCACTAAAAATTTACCCATGGGGCCCACGTCTCGGAACCCGACAAAAATTACGGAATATGAAACCTCATCCAACCACGAGTCCAACCATAGCAATTTTACTAAAATCCAACATCAACTCGACCCTCAAATCTTCAAATTAAACCAAGAGGGTTTTCAAGATTTTCCCAACTAAAATCACCAATTAAATGCCAAAACTAGTAATAGATTCGGGTAATCTAACCAAAATTAAGTTAAGAACACTTACCCTGTTGTTTTCTATGAAAAATCTCCCGAAAATCGCCTTTTCCCGAGCTCCAATTTGGTAAAAATGTAAAATGGGATTCATCCCATTTTCCAGAACTTAACATTCTGTCCGGGTACTGTTCACATTGTTCACGGGGTACTGTACACTACTATTCACGGGATACTGTTCACATGGTGTAAAAGAAAATTCAGCAGCCATTTTATATCCGTTAATCTTCCGAAATCCACCCGAGGCCCTCGGGACCTCAACAAAATACACCAACAAGTCCTAAAACATAATACAGACTTAGTCGAAATCTCAAATCGCATCAAATAATGCTAAAACCGTGAATCACACCCCCATTTAAGCCTAATGAAACTAAGAACGTCCAACTTCTATATTCGATGCAAAAACCTATCAAATCAAGTCCGATTGAATTCAAATTTTGCACACAAGTCATAAATGATATAACAAAGCTATGAAAATTTTTAGAATTAGATTCCGACCCCGATATCAAAAAGTCAACTCTCCAATAAAACCTAAGAATCTTTAGCCTTAGATTTCTAGATTCCGTTAAATAGCGATAACTTAATCTAGGGACCTCCTAATTCGATTTCGGGCATATGATCAAGTCCCAAATTACGATACGGAACTACCGGAATGGTCAAAACTTTTATCCGGGTTTGTTTGCTAAAAATGTTGACCGAAGTTAACTCAGTTGAGTTTTAAAGCTCTAGTTCACAATTTAATCCATTTTTCACATAAAACCTTCAGGAAAATTATACAGACTGTGCACGCAAGTCGAGGAATTATTGATACTGCTTTTTAAGGTCTTAAAAAATACCGAAATGATTATTATCACAAATTTGTGCACATATGTATCTTGCTATAACTATAAGCATGATAATATGATAGCGAGAATACCTCTATGGAGATATTGAAAAGGCTATTCCACGACATTATATGAAGACATTACATTTCTATCAAGAATGATAGTTTCAAGGTGCAACATATTCATTCAAGTTAATATGGCTAATCTATTTATCAAATCTCTACCAACGATCTCTTGAAGATGATGCACAAGATTGGAATGTGAAGACTCAAGGATGTGAATTGATGCTCTCATTATGGGGAGTTAATACGCGTTGTACTCTTTTTTCCTTACAAGGTTTTGTCGTACTGGGTTTTCCTTGCAAGGTTTTTAATGAGGCAACCAAAAGGCGTATTGTTAGATATGTGTACTCTTTTTCCTTCTCTAGATTTTTTTTTTCCACTGGGTTTTATTTTAGTTAAGATTCTAATGATGCACATTATCTGTTGAATAGACATTTAAGGGGGAGTGTTATAAATAGAATTTTATTTATGGTGAATGTCTATATTTAGAGAGATTCTAGGTTTATTACTTGGTGGCTAAGTCACCCTCTCCCTATAAATAGAGGGTTCTATTCCATTGTAAATCATCCTATATCAATAAGAATTCTATTCTCTCTACTTTTCTCTACAATACTCTTGTTTTTCTTTTATTGTTATAACAGAATTTTTTTTGTTTGAAAAAAAAACATTTACCTTAAGGGTATATACTTTCAAAGATGGAGGGGTATGGTCTACCTCAGAATTAGTTAATGGTGTAGATCGTCATAAATAAAAGTTTGAGGGGCATGGTATACCTCAGATTTAGTTAATGGTGTAGCTCGTCAGAAATAAAAGTTTGAGGGCCTTCACTTTCCCTTTAGACCTCTACTAAAAATAAAAATTCGAGGATTCCTTCATTCGTACGTCTCTCTTCTCTTCTGGTGGGCTTCTCTTGTCCTCTTCTTCCTGTGCCGCGAACGGATCACTATCATACACGATCATATATATATATTTAACAACACAACGGTCGGTTATATATAAAACAATTTTGTGAATCGGGTCAAATCTCGGATAAATTTGAAGTTTTTGTCTACCCAACCCTCAAATTTGATTAGGAAATTTAGAAAACAATCAGATTTTCAATTGGTGTATTTCGGGTTAGGGAGAATGTTCAACGGCATGATGGATCCAGAATTGATGAGAATGGCTCAAGAGCAGATGAGTCGCATGTCCCCTGCTGATTTGGCTCGGATGCAGCAGCAGGTTCCTTTAATCTTCCATACCCTTTTAGCTAAATTTCTCAAATTTGAATTCGTAATTCTTTGTAGAAAAGGAATATTTGAATTTGAGTTCTAATTGGTTGCATGAATAAGTTACTGTTATTCAGATAGTATTAAACTTTGAATGACTTTAGCCCCTTTTGGCCAATTTGACGATTTTGAATGATGGGTTACGAAAATTAAAAGAGGAAAACATTAAGGGTTTATTCATCACCTTGCTGATGGGTTAATTAAAAGCATAAGGTGAGGAATAACTTGCTACTGGTGAATTATAGTCAGTCAGATTTAGATCCCTCGAAAAAGGAATAAAAAAGAGTTTTTGTGGATTATTTTGTTTGGTTTGGAAGTTCTGATTTAGTGGCTGGTAGCAGCTAAGGGTTTGGTAGATGGGAGGAGAACCACGAGGTCTCAGGTTTAAATCCCCTTGCAAAAAACACTAGCTGATTTCTTCTCATCTGCCTAAGCCTTAACGGGCAGAGTGGCTGGGTACCTTTGCTGGTTGGAGATTGCAGGTACTCGGTGGAATAGTCGAGCTGCGTGTAAGTTGGCCCGGGCACTCATAACTACAAAAAGAAAATTGATGGTAGTAGCTTGTGTTACTAAATCGAAAAGCTTGTATTACAACTCGAAAAATTACAATGTTTGACAGGTTTGAAGAATAAATTACTGTGTCTTGCGTGAATGGGTCAATTGGAGTTATAAGGACTGGAATAAGTGCAAACTTTTGGTAATGAAATTAGTTGGACTAGTGGACTTCAGTGGCTGAAATATGCTTGCTCCTGATCACCAAGCATTTGTCAGTCTTTCATTTTTTCTTTTGAATTTTTGGAATTGGATCAATCTCCGCTTTGAAATGAATTCAGATTAATTTTTTCTTATTGGCCCTGATACGCTACTCATTTACAGATGATGTCTAATCCTGAGTTAATTAGAATGGCTTCGGAAGGCATGAAAAACATGAGACCAGATGACTTCAAGGTTGCTGCAGAACAGTTGAAGCATACCCGTCCAGAGGATATGGCTGAGATTGGTAAGAAAATGGCTAATGCATCACCTGAAGAAATAGCAGCGATGCGTGCCCAAATGGATGCACAGGTTAAATATGAAATTAGTGGAGCCGAGTTGCTGAAAAAGCAGGTAATTTATTTTGTGTTACACAGATTAAATGCACATTAATTCCATTTATGCAATCATTTGGTTTCAAATGTGTATAATTCTTTTGCTGCACGCTTAGTTCTATCTTGAAATTTTCTGGTACGGATCTGTAAATTGGGGCTTTATAGAGAACATATCCTATCTAACACATTTTTTTAGACTATCTAACACATTATTGGTTAAGAAGTGATAGTTTTTGTTCCTCTTTTCTTTAAAAAGAAAAAATACAAGGCTTAATCTATTACATAATAGACTACAGAATTACTGGAAACATTTACCTATATACCAGATCAATAACTCAATGAGTTCATGTTCATTCTTATGATCAATAAGAAGAGAGTTACTTTCTTTAGAGCATGTGAGCTGGATTTTACATCTTTAATTAGCTGTAGTATCAAACAAGCTTGAACTATCTAATATGTTTTTAAAAATACCATTGCATACAACTCCCTGTCACGTATGGTTATGTAATTCGATAGTTACCTTGCAAAAATTTTCTCTCTTGTCTCTGCATGAGATAAATAATTTCTGACTTGTAAGCTGCAGGTCTAACCGGATTTATGACAGTTATTATATATCTTTACTAAGCAGTTATTTTTGTAACATAATTACCTCTGGTTGGTATGATTTGTGTCTTGGATGCAATGTTATATTCTGTGATACTGCAATAGAATTGGCTGTTGTGACTTTTGATTTAACTGCTAAACACTGAGTATGAGGTACTTGATGGAAGCTTTGGTTTATTTCCCTTTCTAGCTTATTTGAGGATCTCTATGTATAAATGGCAGGGAAATGATCTTCACACCCAGGGAAGGTTTAAGGAGGCCCTGCAGAAATATTCTCTTGTAAGTCTAACCTTTGCCTTTTTGATTTGCTTGTGCCTGCACAAACTTAAGTTTCTGTTCTGATTATTTCTTTTCCTTTCATTATCAGGCAAAGAAAAATCTGTCAAGTATTCCTGCTGCAAAAGGCAGGAGTCTCTCATTGGCTTGTTCCTTGAACATGATGTCGTGTTACTTAAAAACTGGACAATACCATGACTGCATAAAGGAAGGTAGTGAGGTATGGGGGTAATAGATAGTGCTCTAAGTTCGCCTGATTCTGATAGTGCTTCAAGTTTGCCTAACTTTGAGGTTCACTGATTCTAATTAAAATTATATTCTTGCATAACATGGTGGGAGACCATGTGCATCCGGCTCCAATTGTGTTCCTCATTATATATTTGAATATCAATGTGTGGATTTTCTGTTTTAGATGTCCAAGGCTGAGGGTTGTTTATTCTATACCGAAATGAGTTTCCACTTTTCTTCGGGTCTATTCCAGAATAGTGTTCCCTTCTTAAAAGAAAAATGTGATTATATATTTCATAATTTAAAGGTCACTTTTACACTTCTCGCCAAAGAAATTATTCTCGGAAATATCAAAAGAACAACTTAAAGGCCCGAAAGTCTAACTCATTAACGTTAAATATTAAACTTTTTCTACTCTCATCTTAAAACCTATGCCAAGTGAAAACTTGAATTCAAGTCTTATATTAGTTCAGCTTTGAGATTGAACCATACTTGAATATGATTCTCAACTGCACTGTTATGGTGGTTATTTAATACATGGCTGGTGCAGGTTCTGGCATATGATGACAAGAATATCAAAGCCCTTTATCGTAGGGGTCAAGCTTATAAAGAGCTGGGGCAGCTAGAAGTGAGTATTTGTCTACTCTTGTATGACTTTCTCATTGTTCATTCTTTGTTCCAGTCCTTTACAATGTCAGATATTTGTCAACTCTTCTCATTTCTATTTTGAACCATAAACAGGATGCAGTGTCTGACTTGAGTAATGCACATGAAGTCTCACCTGATGATGAAACTATTGCTGATGTCTTAAGGTATTCTTGTTTACACGTTCTACAATAACTGGTAAATGTACGTTCCATGGGGTATCCCTCCATTTTCCTTTTAGATCTGCTGAAATTCTAGTGCGCATCAGCTTTCAGATGCTAAAGAAGTTTTATTTGCTTATTTAGGGGAGTCCAAGAAAGATTGGTGAAAGAAGGTGGTGCTTCAAGACGTATGTTATTTCCACATATCTGTATTTTAGCTGTACTTGGATTTTATTTAAAAATATTCCCATGTTAATTGAACTTGAGTTCTCCTTTCTCGGGCAGGTAGAGGAGGATTGGTTATTGAAGAATTAACTGAAGAAGAACCACCAGTGTCTTCTGAAACCACGGATGGTCAAGCTGCAGAAAGTGTTGCATCACAACCACGAGAAGCGATCAGTCCTCCTAAGAGTCAAAGTGAAATCCTTGGTGGGCCTCCCTTATCAAATTCAGAGTCTTTGGAGGCTTTAAAAAATGACCCAGAATCCATTAGGTTTGTTTCTTGATGTCAGATTTTTATGTCAGAGGTCAATTCCTTATATATTTTATCCTGTCATATTTTAAACGTATATCGGCTTTTGTCTGTGTGGAACTTCTTTTGCTTGTGTTCTTGTCATTTAGTTGAAGAATGGCATATTAACGACCATGACGTTGCAAAATTGCTTCCTTACAGAACTATATGCTATTTGGTACTCTCAAATTTCCCACCCTCTTTTTTCTTTGAGGTTTAGACTATTGATTATGTAGTATGTTCTTCAAATTGCATCTTTCTCTTAAAATTTTTTCATGCACACAGTCCTTAATCTTTTGAATGTTTTTTTTTATCTTGCATCATGAGTGTTGTTGAGTTTATGGGAACCTTATGTTGAAGACTAGAGAGTTACTATAGTTATCAGCGATTAGCTTAGCTTGTTTATTTCATTTTCATACTGCAAAACATAATTAGGCATCTAGGTCATTGGTTTGCTAAGATATGCCATAGGCTAAATCTTGTCTAGATGCAGTGTCTAATATTGCCATTGTCCTTTCTTCCCTTTGCTTGGTGCTGCTGAAAGGTCATTCTTTGTTATGATCAATTTCACTTGCTTAGGAGAAATCCTATGCTCTACACATTGTCCTTTCTTCTTTATAGCAATCATTTCCTTTTTTTTCTTCTCCTTGTATAAGATTGTGTTCACCAATGTTGGCAGTCTTTCTTAGTATAAACATAACTCAGACAATAATGATACACCTTTTAATTCTGTTGTATGGTTGTAGATCCTTCCAGAATTTTATTTCTTGCACTGATCCAGACACCCTGGCTGCCTTCAGTGGCGGAAAAGCCGAAGGCATACCCCCTGAAATGGTGAAGACTGCCTCCAATGTTATTGGCAAGATGTCACCGGAAGAACTACAAAGAATGGTCCAGTTGGCTTCCTCCTTTCAAGGAGAAAATTCGTTTCTTAATAAAGGTTCCTCAGATAACTTTGGGCCTGGTTCGGTTCCTCCAAATGTAACACCCGACATGCTTAAAATGGCAACTGATATGATGGGCAAGATGTCTCCAGAAGAAATGCAAAAGATGTTTGAAATGGCATCTACGTTAAAAGAGAAAAGTCCAGTATCAGCTGCAACAACTATAGATTCTAATGGATCTAGGCCGAATCAGCAGTCAAAGCCTCGAGACACTAGGGAAAGTTTCAAAGTGGATGATAGTGCAAGTGCAAGCACTTCATCTGAAGGGTTTTCTAATTCAAATAATGGTCTTCAATCAAGCTTATCAAGCTCAAATGCTGATCTGCAAGAAGAAATGAGAAACCGAATGAAAGATCCAGCCATGAGACAGGTGTTTACTTTAGTCTTTTCTTGTGCAAATTTGCATATCAGGGGCTTTATTCTTTTTCTTGGTAATGGTATGTATTAGTATTGCCTATATCATTAAAGATCCGACATTCATATTTTCTCTAATGTTCCTACTGCTAACTGAAAATGTCCTGAGTTAAATTTGTAAATACCTTGGTTTCTCCACTAATTTTTTCTGTTTTAATTTCGTTGTAACTGTTTTAAGATACTATTCCACCTTGACTTTTTCAGCAATCCATATTTGAAGAGAATAAGTAAATAATTATGTGAAAAAGCACATGCATTGAGGGCACCATGAGTTCCAATGATAAAAAAATTTCATGATACCCTTCTTCAAATCCTGTTCAGTTAGTAATCATTGCTTGTTTCATTTCTTATTTGTTCTTTATCTAGAATATTTCATCACTTGTTGTGAACTGTCTGATAAAACTTTAAGTCTACTTTTTCTAACAAATACAAATGTGGGGGTTAGTTATACTTCTCTGCCCTTTTACATTTATCCATTTATGAGTGGGTGCTTTTAGAGGGGCTGTGCCTTTAACTACGTCTGCATTTTAGGTGCCTCTACCAGTTTTTATGCTGATGTATCTAGGTCTTCGTTGATTTACTCCTTAACACTTGGTTCCTGAAATTGACAGATGTTCTCTTCAATGATTAAAAGCATGAGTCCAGAGGTGATGGCTAATATGAGTGAACAATTTGGATTGAAGCTCAGTCAGGAAGATGCAGAGAAAGCTCAACAGGCAATGTCTTCATTGTCACCAGATGACTTGGAAAAAATGGTAATTACTCAAATTATGCTGGTGTGATTGTATCCCCCTTTTCTCTGTTCTTCAAAGGAAATTTTTCTTCTGAAGGTCTGCCTTTTTTTTCCATTGAGCCTTTTTGCATTATTATGACACATTGCTAATTCATTATTATGACACATTGTTCTTCAAAGGAAATTTTTCTTCTGAAGGTGTGCCTTTTTTTTTTTCCAGTGAGCGGTTTTGCATTATTATGCCACATTGCTAATGCATTATTAGGACACATTGTTCTTCAAAGGAAATTTTTCTTCTGAAGGTGTGCCTTTTTTTTTTCCAGTGACCGGTTTTGCATTATTATGACACATTGCTAATTCATGTGATTGGCACGTGTAATGCATCTTCCATTAGAACCAATATCTTACTTTTCTCATTAGAACGAAAAGGCCGAAGTCTCTCTTGTGTTGGTCCAAGTCTAAAGTAAATGGTTAGTGAGGTGTGGGAAGTCGTAGGAGAAAGATCTTATCACTAAGAAAGGGAGCACATATGAGTGAAGTGGTGCACATTCTTAAACTCTTTAGATGAGAATGTGTTGAAATCACGTCTTTGGATCATGGGGTTTTGTCATAATTTGGCTTTTATGAGTTGGATTCCTTAATGAAACAAGCACTGGCTATCTTAACTAAATTTCTGACATTTTGCTAGCCATATTGATGTTTAATACTATAAACATTCAAGCATCTTGTTATGATATAAATAGAATATGTAACGGCGAGAATCCACTTGAACAGTAGGCTTGAGTTCTTGAGAAATTTTTCTGAACTTGATTATTTTCTGGGATTTGTAATTGTCTGGTTACTGAGTAGTTTAATTCATCTCTTTGTTTTAAGTTCATGATAACCTCCTATTTTAACCATTGGTAGCTCTAATGTCGTGAGTAATCAACTTTTATACATTTTAAATCCTTTTTTCCGAATATTGTAGATGAAGTGGGCCGATAGAATTCAAAGAGGAGTGGAAGGCGCGAAGAAGACGAAAAATTGGCTCTTAGGAAAACCTGGCATGATCTTGGCTATACTTGTGCTGCTTTTGGCAGTCATCCTTCACTGGCTGGGCTTCATCGGGCGCTAGACTTAACGTGTTAGGCAAAGCCAAAGATTAGTTGACAGAGCCTGCCATTATGACCCATGTTCAACAAGTGGATTAGAGTTTGGGATCCTCGTTATAGTGCACTTAAAATGGGAATTTGTGGATGAAAGTATTACCAGTTGGTTGGAGATGACAGCAGTAATTTTGTTATATTAATTTTCTTCTTTTTCTTTGATTTGGGTGTTCTGATGCAACTTGACAAATTTTTTAATTCGTTTTTTAGGAGTAGAACGCACCATTTCAACATGATTTTTTTTTTTTTTTTTTTTTTTTTTGTAAAATTTTGTTCTTTCCGGATTCAGAAATCATGAACTGACTTGACATAATTCATAAGTATTACGTACAATATAACATTTCTTTTTGTTTGTTTCTGATTAGTCTCGTCTGATGAAATATTCCCGAGGAGACTCATAATTTTGTCACACTAATCATTTGGCACACTTGTGGCTTGTGCGTTATAGAATTTGTGCGTGTGTATGG